ATCCTACCTAGTTTAGGAGTCTTTGTACTTGTATGCGATCCTGTAGAGGGTTTCTTCATAGGACAGCAAGCCAAAAATAAGGAACAGTGTTCTAAGATTTTTTCATAGGTACTGGAGCAGCAAGTACTATCACTTGTGCACAACATGGCACACTGGATTCGGGATTTTGCTTTCACTGTATGAACTGATGCTCCATTTTGAACTATTCTTCGGTTCGTGTTGGTGTCGAACTTCTGTGTTTTAATATCAAAACTTTCAACATATTGTGCGAAAAGTGCAAACACAACTGCTGTCCTTATATAAAACATAGCATTCATTGATATTCCGCTACCATTTGAGAATGTGGTTTTGTAGTTTGACTGTAAAGCGTCTTCGCACAATAACCAAACAAATATGACGGGTCTATGACGATGTAACAAAGTGATCGCTTCATTGTAAGATAAACTGGTCTTGTGATTACTGCGATGAATGAGTTTTTATTTTATTTTATATAGTTTATACATTGATAAAAGAAAGAAGAAACTAATTGAAATTTCAATTTGAATAACATCACATAAACATTTTGGAAAATTATTTGATTTTCAATGGAGCTTGAAACTTGTTATTAGAAAGTCGTATGATTTCAATTGGATGAGCTTTAAACTCTCATTTAATGAAACTAATGCATGACAGATCATCTATACATTTAGAAAATACTTGGAGTAAATTACATTTTTCAGTCCCATGAAAAATATACGATAACCAATGAAAAACCTTCATTAAGTGTAGACACCTTTTGCGTTTACCGTAAAAACGTACATTTGGTATTACAAATCTACGAAAATTAAGAAGAAGGGTTCAAAGCGTTAGCTATATTTTCCTGATCTTTCAATATTTATTAAATTTGGTAGTTTCGATTTCTGTCGTTGTTCCTCTTTTTTTCATTTTTTAAAGTACTGGTAAAATACAATAGCTGCTGGACTATGAGTTCCAGAGGGTATCATCAGCTAAGTAGTATGTCACTGCTTGGGTACTGACATGATTTATGACAAACCTTTCTTAAATTATTTAGACACTCAGGTCCCTAAAATAAATTAACTTTCGATCGATTATTTTAAGGTACCCTTTAAACATATTTATACACCCTCGGCTTTCAAATATTTTGCTTTGGAAAAGTCGCTTTGGACGCAAAACATGTACGCATTGGTTTTTGTATATTTTTTGTTTAAGTGTGCAGAGGAAAGAAATTTAAGAAAGTTGTTCCGGACGCACGAAATTGAACCAGTTTAACTTTCATTGAAGTAAGGTATAGTTTTAAAACCAAGTTTAATTCATTTTTTTCTACATGATGAAATGCCTGTACCAAGTAATACATATTTTCATTCGTTTGATGTGTTGAAGCTTTCAATTTTGCCTTTTTCCCGTTTTGAATTTTCTATGGAATTTGGTATTTTTTTATATAATATTCATCACTTGCTCTGAGTTGATTTTTTTTACTGTCTTTGGACTGTTATGCATTAGATCAATATTAAGTGTATATGTACTAAAATAACTTGTTAGCAATATTACTAAACTTCATCGTTGAAAAAGAAAGACACTAATGTTTATGACATTTTAATTGAGAGTACTCCTAGATTGGAAGTTTGTAGATATATTCGTTTTGTCCTTTATATCGTTCTGATGAGTCATTTACTTTAACTGATTTTACCATTTGTTTTTATGTTGTGTTGTTAAAAATCACTGTTTTTTTACAGGTAAAGTTGATCGCTCGTGAACCTGTTGAAACCCGGCACATTCTATGCTATCCTAGGTCAGGAGCCTGTTATTCGGATGGTTGTTATTGGTCGTTGTTCATCATATGTGTTTGTGGTTATTGCTTGGTACATAAATAAGGCCACAGAGTTTTTTTTTTCATTTAAATTATTCTATATTGGAAATGTAGGGACAGTTTATAGATTAATATACGATTTCGTATATGCTCATTGACGACTACTAGTTGCATACATCTACAGAGTATCTGTTGTGCAAACACCATGGATTATATACACTCGAACTGATATGACATGTAACAACGTAACAAAATTCTAATTCATTGTCAACATTGACATGTGTGTAACGTATGGTAAAATATCAATGGTTTCTAGATTGGTTTTAAAGACAACTAAATATCTGGTTATCTTTAAATCGGCAGAATAACACTTATTACGTAACGATTCAGTGAACACGGTAAACATTTCATAGGAACTTTTGATGTGCATTATATGTACCTATTGACTAGTATGATTCATCAAAACCTCAATTCAGAAAGAAATCTACTTTCATATTGGAATAGTGATGCATGGCATAGGTATAACTTTCGCTTATGAAACAGACATTCAAATAGAAAAAAAAAATATGCAATGTCAAAATATTGCAATTAGTATTGTCAAACTGAATTGAACACTGCGTTGTTAGAAGTCAGCATTTTCTTGTTGACACGAATTATCATTGATATGGTAATACTAGTAAATCAACTGTTTACAAAACTTAGAATTGTTCGAAATACTTAGGATTTTTGACACCAGAAATAGACTACATGGCTGTATTTGCAAAACATTTCGATATGTTTTGTTCTCAATGCTCAACCTCTTTGGACTGTATTTGGCCTTTTAATTTTTTTTTTACTCGGGCGTCAATGTCTTTTGTAGAAAGACAAACTATAAGTCTGGTATCTTCGACCAGTTGTTTTAAATTTTTTTATTGGAATGAGTGTATGTTTCATTGGAATAACAGAAGAGATTATAACGTTAAAAGATATCAAACCTCGTTTTGTACAAGCTTAACAATATGACATATTGTTTTAACACTTGTATAGTGTTTATGTTGTTGAAGACCATATATTGACGTAAATAATTTTGTTAGTCGGATTCCTGTCTGATCTGTATAAAACGTTTAAGGTCGGTGATTTTTATTGGTACTATATATCTTTATTTTATTAGCTTGATGTATACTTCACAAATAATACAAGATGGTCCCTTACGATAGATAATAGGTGCTGAAGTTGTGCACTTTTTATTAATTCACAGTTTTCTTTTTATTTGTTTTTGTGCTATTATGCTCTTTTTTCATATGACTCTTTAGCGGCACTCGGATTTTTGCTGGAGTTTTTGTCAAATTTTATGTGGACTTCTCCATTTTGAATTGTCAAAGAGTTCCGTATTTTTGTTATACTTTTATACATGTACCAATGAGTTGTTTTTACCTACTTTAGCCCTGTACTTCTGAAGTCAAACCTATTTAAATCCGTTATAAACATAGATAAGGCAAAAAGAGAATTAACATCCGTTTAAAATTTATGATGCTTTCCTTTATGATGTTCTCTCCTCTGTTTCAAAATAACAAGCTTTTCAAAAGACTGTTATAAATTCATAAAAGAGATGCTCCAGATACCCAAGAGACATAAAAACTCATAAATCGAAAATAAACTGACAACGCCATATAGGTTGTAGAATTATTACAGCGATTCAATTATTATACAACTACAACAAAGCAAGGGTAAATCTAACATAGTATTCAGCAGTTCCATATCCATCGCATCTGGTGCAGTAAAATAGGTACCCTTAATTTTAATATTACAACTGGTCGATACTTCTGCTGGTGGACTGTTACTCCGGAGGGTATCAACAGCCCAGTATCTAGTACTTAAAAACGTATAATGTTTTTTTTAAATTTTCTGTTTCAAAAGGTTTGAAATCATTTTATTAAGGATAATATCTCCTTCATGCAAAGCTCTGATTTCTTGCATGGCTTTGGGTATACTATTTGTCATAATTGAACAAAATTCTTAACTAATAAAAACATCAATTTCAATGCATAAAACGTTATTCCTTTTTAATTTGATATCTCCCACAAGCTTCATAAATGCTGAATCAAATATTGACTAAACAATATGTTTACAAGTTCTGAAATAAACACCAAATTTACAGTTAAGAAGACAACATTTGGAAATATATAATTGTTAACCTTTGACCCTCATTATGCAAAATTGTTACCACTTCTGAGGCTTATGACATCATTAATCTGACGATTCACGATTTTCTCTTTCTAAGGATATATGATTTAGCCGTGTGTTCTATGGATGCATTATATTACGTTTTGTTATGATTTTACCGCTGGTCTAACATGGTATCATCTATCTTTTTTTGTCACTTATTTTAATTGAGTCGGTTTGGATATGGAAGGGGAAATTACCAAAAATACCATCAACGTCATATAAATTTATAGGCAAATACAAATTTAAATCAAAATACAAACTATATAAAGAAGAATTGACATAATCGATTTTGAATAGGCGAAACTAAGAAAGGCATGCTTTGGCTTCCAGAAAAAAATAACTGAATTCAACGAGCTTACAAAACAAAAATAGTAAACTTCACATTCAAAGATTCAAGCAAGCGATAAAATAAAATGCAGCCTTTTTTTAGGGGGGAGGGGAGAGGGTGGGTTGGGGGTTATATGAAGGTGAAAAGAAAAAAAATGATTGCCAGTTAAAACGAATATTAAGAATAAATTGGACCCAATTCTGTGTAAATATCAGTTTTGATTAAGATAACCTTCTATTTTACTGTAATCGGTAACCGTTAGTTGGTATTTAGTGCTCTCATCCCCCAACATATAGACTTTAAAAAATATATATTATGTTGATTGAAATCCAAGATGTCAATGTAAGGAAATCCATACCGAAATAACGTATCACAGTTAATGTTCACACTACACGAAGGAACCAATTGCACTATATCATCGATTAAAAGAAAACATGCAATGGAATGTGACAATTTTATTGAAGTAAGAAAAAGTATCTTTGATATTATTGTATGGAAGTGTAAAATACAAAACAGAGCAATCTTATCTGTCAACGTAGAAATCAATGACGAGAAACAAGGCTGACATATTTCTGCAACTCGTAATATAAATGCTAGTCTAGACATATACATGAATTTATAATAAATTATACAATAGTTTATATCTCTAAACATCCGAAGTGGTTGTTGCATCAGGTAATGTATAAAGTATTTGTGATGGTCAAATTGTTCTCGCTAAATTGCCGAATGGACTATGTAAAGTCAAGATAACTATTGTCACTTTCAATGTAATGTTTCTATCTTGGTTTTTGATAAAATAACTGAATGTGGTATACCATTTACCTGCAGGTTGTCAAGATTTATACATTGATGAAAAAAGAAAACAAACCAACATAAGTGTTTGTAATATAAAGGTTTCATCTATCATACAATTTTTCATATTGTTTTTAATTTCTTTGTTTAATCATCATTCTTGTCTTGGTTATGCCGTCTTTGCGCCACGATTTCCAATGAATGTTGGAACTGAAATCAGATTCTGGTTTTAACTCACCGTTGATGTTGGCATTAGTACATTTTGCATGCCACCAACCACTCTTTTTGGAATCAGAACACGACCGAGTTGGTTTTAAGTCGTTGTCCTTGTCACGAGTAGAAAACATCATACCATTCATTGAATTGTTATTCCCATCATTCATTGAATCACCTGTAAAATGTATTGTAATATATGTAAAATAGGGCAACAGTAAGTTACCGATGTTACAATTAATCAGGAAACAACAGCATTACATTGGTTGGATACTTTTTGAACATCTTCCTACGTAATCAAAGACACGTATCGTAAAGAAGATGTTCTCTTAACACCAGACATGACTGATATCACGATAACATTACATTCAAATCATTATACCAATAACAATTATAACAGTATCTTTGCAAACGGCCATGTTCAATTTAGCTACAGGTAATTATTACCATCTGTTTTTAGGACAAATCGTTTTTTAATGTCATGTAAAATAGCAAATTTTACTGAGATTCTAACGACAAGGTAGTTTGAGTAGATTCTGGTCAAAATATAAAAATAATGGATGATCAATATACCAGAACAATGATAATGTTCGAATCGTACATAAAGGACAGGTAAATACACGAATAGTTTTATATGATAATATAATACAATCATAGGTCAGCATAGCGACAGTAAAGACAAAACAATAATATACAGTCCAATGACGATTTTATGATTGACATTGTTAAAAGATAAAGTCCTTTTTCTGCCAAAGCACAACACGTATCATTTGACTAAAACAATTGACAAAGTAGTGCAAAAGTATATGGTAACAGGCAATTTCTCTCTTCTTCCAATCCGAGTGTACAAATCTGGGAAAGGATAGTGTTGTTATATGTTATACAATTACTGTCTTTTGGTGACTTGTAAAAAAACTGATATTCACTGAGGCCAGCGGCCAAAGTAATGTTAGTTTTCAAAAGTCAATTAAACCACGTACTTACCGAAATACAAAACAGTAATTGTTTTATTCAATATTCCGAGAGGTTACCAAATAAATGTATGTAATGAGAATTATTTACCAAACCCAATAGTACGTTAAACGATTTTAACATAATAATACACGTAAACGCACGCAATGTTTTCCGCGGTGAATATGCGTATTTATTCAAAATCCAATTCATATAAAAAACCTACTAAAGTTCTATCAATATGGAATAATATTCGTATATTACTTGTATTAAAAAGCCTGCTAAATTACTTAATTTTTGCCTGATTACGCAAGAGCTATTTATAGTCATGCTGCTGTCAATTCTACAATATTATGTCATGATCTGAAATGAGTTTTATCGGAGAAGCTTGAAGATAATGTTCAGTGCATTTTAAATTGTTTATATCATAATGATTGAAGAGTCGATTTGAATCAATACTACTTTCGTTCAGCTAATCTTCAAAACATTGCGGAAAACTTCTTTCCGGTTGTCATTCTTTTGTGGAGTTTTCGTGAATATCCTAAAAATTTACACACATATGTATCTGTGGATCACACGTTCATGCTGAATTATTTCATTTTTACTTTATCGTTTGTTTCACAAAATATATATCAAATTCGTTGCTTTCCGACAAATAATCGCTGTATAGTTTGTTGACGTCACAAATGTAATATTTTAACTCTTTATATGTAAACTTTAACGAAAGGTAAACCACGAAATTATCAGTCATCCACAACCATAATTAAAATGTTTTATCCAAAGCACATCTGACAGTATTTTTTTTAATAGAAAATTGGAGGTATATGATTGACTTGCAAGCAAGTGTATTCCCGTCGCATTACGTACAGGTATCATTGACAAGGCCGGACCCATTCATTTACAGGGGAGTGTCCTCAACATTTAATTTCAAAATATTTCATCTTTTATAAATAATTACACGGTCAACAGGTATGAACAGAGCAAAGGATGACATATGGCTAACAAATTTTTGAATTTCATTTTGTCTTTGAAGTCTGAAGGCAAAAATTCAAACGAGCTCATGAAATTCTTAGTGTACATATATTGCACTTGCAAATCCAAACGGTTGACTAGGTTATAGAAAAATGGTCATTCCTTGGTCTTGTCCGAACAGCAGTAAAACGCTTATCATCGAGAGTCGTCCGTTTGGCTATGTGGGATATAAATTCCAGCCACGTGCGGTCAAAATTATGACGTGAAATCCAATGTCTCGTGTAGATACTGCCACACCCACAACACGTTAAGAAACAGAATTCTTTGAGAGATCAATTTTGAAAGGGCTAAATTTCGTTTTCCAAAATAACAATTGCTGAATTGGTAGTGCTAATTTAATATTTGCCCAGACATACAAATATAGTTTTACTTCAATTGATTGTTTACTCAGTCTTAAAAAGAACCGACTAATAAAAAACAAGAAACAGTTGAGATTTTTGATTATAACGCATGCATTTAGGTTCGTGATATTCGTGATATTCAATCAAGAAAACAAGGACCATATCAATGCTGTATAGTCTTAGATGCATTATTTCTTTTATTAGTTGTTATTGGCTTTTAACTAGCTGTCAGTAACTGCGAGTACTCTCAGATCTGTACTTACTGTCTGTTTGTTGTTGGGATGTACAAGTACCCAGTCTCGTCCACTCTGTGTTATGTATTTCAATTTGTATCCATCTGATGAGTTAATCCTTTTTCAACTGATTTTTATAGTTCGTTCTTATGTTGTACTGTCACACCACTGTCCCAGGTTATGAGGAGGGTTGGGATCGCGCTAACATGTTTAACCCCGCCACATTCTGTATGTATGTGTCTGTCCCAAGTCAGGAGCCTGTAATTCAATGGTTGTCGTTTGTTGCTGTGTTACATATTTGTTTTTCGTTCGTTGTTTTGTATATTAACTAGGCTGTTAGTTTTCTCGTTTGAATTGCTTTACATTTGTCATTTCGGGGCCGTTTATAGCTGACTATGCTGTATGGGCTTTGCTCATTGTTGAAGGCCGTACGGTGACCTATAACTGTTAAATTGTATGTCGTTTGATAATTGGCAATCATACCACATCTTCTTTTTTATAAGTACAATCACAGTAGTTGGTTCTTCATGTTGATCCTTTTAAGTGGTTTTTCATGCAGAGAAGGGAGTAAAACATGTACGAAGGTATAATTTGAATTTACATAAGGTGGCTATAGGTTTTAATATGTTAATAATAATCAAATGGATGACAAATCATTTGGAATTTGGCAACAGGGTAGCAATACGTTATAATTTTCGGGAAAATTCAGCATACTATTGAGAATTAACCCTTTATTTTCACACCTCCACATAATAGGTCCCTAATTAATTATCAACGATCGGTACATTACGTTTGCACGCATTGCCTGTACATTTCCGCATAAAAAATCATTAACCCCTTTTATTAAATGTATGTGATTAATTTTACAGGCAATAAAAGGTAAACTTACAAATAATACACATTCCATTTCTTTAACGTCCTAGGTTTACCATAACAGTTTTCAATATCAATTTTTAGGCTACGTTTAAATAACAACTTTACAATGGGACTTAATCCTGTGCAATTATAAGTTTAAAAAGTAAAATAACAAAAATACAGAACAACGGTGAAAATTTTAAACGAAAAGTCCGTAATCAAATGGAAAAATCAAAAGATCAAACACATCAAACGAATGGATAACAACTGTCATATTCCTGACTTGGTACAGGCATTTTCTTATGTAGAAAATGGTGGACTAAACCTGGTTTTATAGCAACAGTCGCATACAATTCCATTATATTGACAACGATGTGTAAACAAAACAAACAGTCATAATCATGTAAAATGTCAAAAATAGGGGTACAACAGTCAACATTGTGTTATAATCTAAATCACTTTAAAAACAAGCAAATATGTAACAAAGAAACACAAAAAGGCATAGAGACAAAGCACATTAGCAAAAATGAAAGACAGGAATACAAAAATTTACCATAGCACAATAACACAATGACGGGATGTATAAGTACAGAAAAAAGTAAAATAACAAAAATACTGAACTCCGAGGAAAATTCAAAAAGGAAAGTCCCTAATCAATGACGGGATGTATAAGTACAGAGCCACGTCATATGCAATAAAGTACATTAGCAAAAATGAATGACAAGAATACAAAAATTTACCATAACACAACAACACAATGACGGGATGCACAAGAACAGAGCCACGTCAAATGGAAATCACCAAAAACAGACCAAACAGCAAAAATAATATTCATTAAGCAAAAAAAAAAAAGAGCACTATAACAAGTTATTAAGATGATAACCAACGTCATTACCCAAAATCTATACTTTAAGACCATCGTGTATTATTTGTGAAGTTGATACGGAATATTTATCAACAGGTCTTGGTACCTTCTGATGAACGGTTTTTAGAAAAAGGACGAGACATTCTTTGACATACCCCTGGTTCATCAACTTTCAACTCGAACACTTGTGACGTTTTACAAAGTCTGAGTAGCAGATGCAATTTCTTGAATACCGAATAAGTTGGGACATATATATCACATATACAGGTGAAGTTAGTATATTGCTACTAAGGTGTGGGAAATTGATAATTTATAACCAAAATCGTCTCGTTTGTCGAAGATTCTGGTACTGAGATGACCGCTTATGTCAAACTCGATGTTCAAGTCTAAAAATTAGGCGGAGGACGTTGAGACTGTTGTTTCTTTAATTTCTAGTTCTGGGGGACATATTAATGGAATCCAGAAATGTTTCGATTGCTAATGGAAAGAACAGCATAATGATTACCTGCTGTTCCACTGTAACCTGTAATTGTGAGTTGGTAGTCAGTTACCGCACTCCCCACAAATATGGTATCGTACACAGCATACGCTGTAGTTTTATTGACATCTTCAAGCTCAAATCGGACTTGGTAATTTTTTTGTTGTCGAAGAATACAATGGAGATTGTCATTTCCTTTTGAAATAGATAATAATTTATAGATAATTAGCGGTACATATTCTGTCGATATACTGCTTTAAACCTTGAAAATTTATAGATATTTGTTTTCAATGAAATAGATTGTTTTAATAAAAAGAAATCGGCGAGGAACCTTTCGTTCCCTCTGAAACAAAAAAGACATTAAAACTTAAAGAAATGTCTCCAACAATGTATAAAACACAATGTAATGTGTGAAGCTTTTTTTTCTACCGAGATTTACCAAGATTCAGTACTAAAACAATACTTAATAAGGTATCAAGCACCTGCAATCAATACAAAAAGGATAAAACCAACGATTATAATGAGGAGAACCACTAACCAACACCTTAACTATTAATACCGTGATTGTTGACGGCAACACCGTTCTCTGTGTTTATAGAAAACCGAAGACTGAGCAAAACGAACCCAATAAAAAACTGGATGTGATCTCAGGTGCTCCGGAAGGATAAACAGATCCTACTTCACATGTGGCACCCGTCGTGTTGCTCATGTTAGTACAAACCCGGTAATAAAAACTAAATGCTAATTGAAATATCTTACCTAGCCAATGTTCTCCCGCTATATCCCCAAATCCAAGTTTGTAATCCTCCCAATCTCTATAGAAATCAATACTTCCATCAAATCGTCTTTGAATTGTCTATAGATACAAAGTATTTTGAATATAAACGAAGATTTTAAGACCCAACGTCATAAAATTAATAGTATACTTATGAAAAAAGTTTAAATAAATAATTATTATATTTGCAAACAATCTTTTTTGTCAATTTTTTTGTAGAGTTTGTGCTATTATTATGACAAAATTCAATTTTCAATTTCTAATTTTCACATCATATGTTCGAAAGAAAATTATCAACTCCCCAAAAAAAAAAAATAAATCCAAAATTTAAAAAAAAGGGAAAGACCATAAAACTTGATAAAATCAATCGCTCAACTATATTAAACAACGGACACCTGGAAAAACAAATGTCATACATACTCTGACTTTGTACAGTCATATTCTGAAGAAAACAAAAGAAGGCAGAACTAAAAAAACCTTCTCTCGGTATTGGTCTTCAAATAAAGACAACGTGTAGGACAATTTGTTTCTAGACGGTCATTGATGAATGCAGCTTTTTCGTGTTTTTTATTCCCGAATTTCTATGCATAAAGGACACAAAGTTTAGTTGCAACATCTGCAACACAACCAGAAGAGAAACATAAAAAAAACAACGGTAGGATTGTAAAGACTCATAAAATATACCGGCTTCTAATTTAGAACACCAGACGAGCGTTTCCTTTACATGAGACTCATCAGTGGCGCTCATATACAAAAGTTGGAATTCCAAAATCAAATACGAGGTTGAAGATCATTAAAAACCGTAAAGACGAAACAAATTTCGCCACATACGTATAAAGCAATCAATACCTGGGGATAGAAACACTTTGAAATTGGCATCGCAGCAAATCCAGATACAGTTAGACAAGATGCATTGACGTTAGATGCATAGATGTTAGGAATGGTCGTGTATACATGCATTGCATGTTACTCGATTGCAAAGTTATAACTGTGGTACAACGTAATTGTTGAAACCAAGACATATACAATACAGAACTTATCTCCATCCTTTGATTTGAGGACTGGCACTTCTCCGATGTGATTACTTTTTCTAAGACCTTTTCGGAATCCCCGGGTTTTTAGGTTATTATTCACATTTCATGTTTAAATTAATAAAATTTAGAGGCAGACTTTTCTCTGTTAACGTAATATTATCAGAACAAAAAGGAGATCAGAAATATGCTAGTTGGTTGAAACTGAATGAGGGCCAGCAAATCTTTATTTTAATCAGATGGCAACTAACTAAGTTTTAAAGTTAATGGCAAATCTCTACGCGTTTGTTAATGTTTTTTTAAGCATTTGTTCATAAATTCAAGACAAAAAGCCTCAAATGACGCTAGTATTCAGGTCTCTGTGTTATCATCCTTTAAGTTCACAGGTTACAAACTTATGAAAGGGTTATCGAATGCACGGCAAACATATAGATACATATAAAATAAAAAAATAAAAAAGTAAAAATGTTTGAAAAAGTATAAAATAAGGAGATGTGGTATGATTTCAATGCAACCATTATCCAACACAGTCAAAATTGAGTGGTTTTAAGTCATTTTAGGTCACCATATGACCTTCAATAATAAGCAAATTTTCACGTCTTCAATATTCTAAGTTTGTTTAAAACTACCTTTAAAGTATCGTGACGAGATAGATATACTCTAGCTACCATTGGTGACAAGTTGCAAGTTTTCAGTTTGTCATACACTCTAAGTGATCGTACGTACTGTTAAAACACTTAAGTTAATATTTTTGATACACCTTTTTTAACGATATCTTTAAGAATGACATTTTCTAAAAAAATGAAATTAATTGAATAAACAATGTCTTATTATTAGATATAGAGTAAGTGCATTTTTTTTCTATAACTACGCTTCAATGAAAAAAATGAATACAGTTTTATTGCCATATAAACGGGAGGTTTGGCTAGCCATACAACCTGGTTCAACGCACCTTTTTTTCTTAAAATCTCCTGTACCAAGTCAGGAATATGGCAGTTGTGATCAAATAGTGCGGTTCTATGTATGTTGGAGTTTGTTATTGTAGCAGTTCAGTATTTATGTTGTTCCGTTGTTTTTCTCTTATAGTTGATGTGTTTCCCTCGGTTTTAGTTTGTGACCCGAATTTGTTTCAGTTAAATCGATTTATGACTACTGAACAGCGGTATACTACTGGTGCCTTTATTTTTAATATTTCTTTTTTTATTGACAGAAAAATTTAACTTACCGTCCACCCTCCACCATCAGTGTCCATGTCACAAAACACAGTTATGGTTGGACAGTTTTCTGGCTGGATAGTATGTACCCCAGTACATGTTCCAAGAGGAAATTCGCTGCAGTCGGTTGGTGTAGGAGAAAAGACCTTAGCTGGTGAAAAGGAAATTACTATATACTTGTAGTATTATGATGCAATAGTTGTAAACAAATTAATATGATAATACACATCAAATTTATACGTATTAGTGCTCATAATGTAGACAACATTTAATGAAGTTGTTAACATCAATTTCGTCTTAATAGAACGATTTTGTTTACGTTTGGTCTTTTTTGGGGGTATATGAACTCTTCAACGTAACATGTGTCTTATTGTCCTAATATCTTGATTTTGAGCATAAGTGAAGACATGTTATGTCAAAAACTGCATTTTGTGCCGTATACTTGGTACATCAATTAAATTTCACAATATTAGATAAAGTGCACAAAATGTCACCAATATATTTGAATTTTGTACATGTTTGTAGAGTTTGTAAGCAACTACAAGGAAAAAGGATCATATTAAATTAATTATTTTAAAATGGAGGTTAAACTAAATTGAGTAACCATAGATGAATAAACAATATCCCAAATCAGATGGGATATCAAAATACAAACAAAAAATTAAAATAGTCTTATATTATTCCATGTCAAAAAATTAGCAAAACGTTATATATTACAAAGAACCCAACAATATTATGTTTGTATTTTATTTTCATAAATTAAGGCATCAGTAGTTTACAGATGTTTAAATCTCATAATTCACATGCTAAAAATACACCATTCTCTATAGGAATCCTCTAAAAATGTAAATTAAAAACTATTCTGGTATATATGTTCTAAAACTGCAAACACATGTTGCTAGTGGTTTGAGACATAGACCTATCGTATCGGTCAACATATTCATTATCTTGACATCAAACCATTGTAGCGTCACAATCATGCGTTTCTCCTTATAACATGTCGGAGAAGTTTTATGTAAAGAGCACAACCTGCTCAGGAAGTCCGTTTGGAATGAACAAACACACGAGTGCAACGTATTAACTGAGATATAAAAATTCTTGTTGATGTTAGAATATGCTATGTTAATGCTGATAATCTGGAAATTGACAATTGGAAAATTGAAATCCTTACATTTGTCATATTCTAGTCGTTCATCGGTGTCAGTATCGAGGAAAATAATAAAATATCAAGCTGACCTGTACCAATCATGAATATGACAGTTGTTTTCAATTCGTAAGATGTGTTTTAGATTTTGGTTTTGCCATTTTAAACCTTACAAATTGGTTGACGATACGATGTGTCAGTGTCTTAACACACTAGCGACATTTTTTTGCGGTCTTTAGATTCTATTATAGTCGTCTGATCTGTACATTTAACGATTATGACATTTTGACTGAGTGTGAATTTGCATGCATTGGCGATGACACTTATCCTGTCACACATCCAGTCTCCTTCTTTGGGAGTTCTAATTGTTCTTTATCAATTTACAGGTTTTTAACACCGGTTTTCTACTGTCGCATTAATTTAGTTGTATCTATTTTGTCCCACACTCCGTTTTCCGTTTTGAATTTCTCTCGGAGTTCTGTATTTTTGTTATTTTACATTTTGTTTTATAAACTGTCACTTATATTAAGTAACTAAAATTTGTAAATATAAAATATATAAGTCCCGATTCAATCTGGCTATAGGGTTTAAAAGAAATAATGATAGCTTTGTGTTTGAATTTTACTAATATGGTTGTATTATATTCAAGTCAGAGAGCAGTTTTATTTAGTGATGGATATAAACAAATTTGACCATTGATCAAGGTTATGAGACAACTGGTAAATTATACACATGATAGTATAAATGGGGTCTATAGAATAAGTGTGTGCTAAATTAAAAATAATAGATTGAGAAAAAAGGCCTAAGACTACAAAAATGAAAACCTTCCTATCATGACCCTAATACATAGTATTGAATCATTCGAACTTGGATATGAACAATAAAATAACAGGTATAAATCAAACACGTAAACACACTTACATTGTACCCACAAAAACAAAGACTTTTACTTTTAGACGATTATCATTTAAGTAAAACAACAGAATTAGCCCACACTGAATTCAGTATGATCATCAGATGCGTTTTAAAAATCACATAACAAAGGACAAAATAAAATAAAAAAAAAAAACCACGAAAAGGAATGCATACTTTTATTTTTAGAGGATGACCCAAAAATTAAACAAATATTATATATTTATAAGATAACATTTATTTAATTGTTTATCTACATTATTATACCTTGTGCACTATATAACATAAATGTAATTTGTGATATCATCAACCTGTCCTAATTGACATATATGACAGAAAATTGTCAATTAACACTAAGTGTGGGACAAAATAGATACAACTAAATTAATGCGACAGTAGAAAACCGGTGTTAAAAACCTGTAAATTGATAAAGAACAATTAGAACTCCCAAAGAAGGAGACTGGATGTGTGACAGGATAAGTGTCATCGCCAATGCATGCAAATTCACACTCAGTCAAAATGTCATAATCGTTAAATGTACAGATCAGACGACTATAATAGAATCTAAAGACCGCAAAAAAATGTCGCTAGTGTGTTAAGACACTGACACATCGTATCGTCAACCAATTTGTAAGGTTGACGGTCGAACTTATGTTGTGGCGATTTTTGTCGTTCTTCCTTTTAACTCATTCAATATATTACTTGACTTGATATTTTGGTATATGAGATTTTAAGATTAAAAAAAAAGGTTTGTCCCTGGTTTACCTCAAAATCTAATTATTATCCTGGTATCTATGGTGATTTTATTCTCATCTTGACATCACACTTTTGACTAACGAAGAGACGAACGGTCGGACATTTGCATCACTATATAATCTCTTTATGTGCGAAAGTATAAAAATAGAACAAATATATTAAAATAGTCTTATAATAATAGATTACAATTACTGTGTAACAATCCTACCTAAATTAGGAGTCTTTATACTTGTATATGATCCTGTAGAGGGTTCCTTTGTAGGACAGCAAGCCAAAAATAATGAACAGTGTTCTAAGATTTGGTCATAGGTACTCGAGCAGCAAGTACTATCACTTGTGCACATTATGGCACACTGGATTCGGGATTTGGCTTTCCCTGTATGAACTTGTGCTCCATTTTGAACTATTCTTCTGTTCGTGTTGGTGTTGAACTTCTGTGTTTTAATATCAAAACTTTCAACATATTGTGCAAAAAGTGCAAACACAACTGCTGTCCTTATATAAAACATAGTATTCATTGATAGTCCGATACCATTTGAGAATGTGTTTTTTTAGTTTGACGTTAAAGCGCCTTTGCACAAGCACTTTTAACCAAAGAAATGTGGTGACTCTATGACGATGTAACAAAGTGATCGATTCATTGTATGATAGATTGGTCTTTTGATACCTGTCATGAATAAGTTATTTTAATTTTATATAGTTTATACGTTGATAAAAGAAAGAAGAAACTAATCGAAATTGAAATTTCAATAACATCACAATAAATATTTTGGAAATTTATTAATTTTCAGTGGAGCTTGAAACTTCATATTAGAAAGTCGTATGATTTCAATTGGTTGAGCTTTAAACTCTCATTTCATTTCATAAAACAAACGCATGACAGCTCATTAATGCCTTAAGAGAATACTTAAACTATTTTATTTCGCAGTCCTATGAAATTGAATAATATACGGTTACCAACGAAAAACTTTTATTAAATGTAGACACCTTTTGCGTATACCGTAAATACGCAATTTGGTATCATAAATCTACGAAAATCAAGAAGAAGGATCCTTGTCAAATTTGGTAGTGATGATTTCAGTCGTTGTTCCTTATTTTTGCATTTTGCAAAACACTGGTTGAATACAACAGCCAGATTTTCCTAATCTCTATCAAATTTTGTAGTGATGATTTCAGTCGTTGTTCCTTTTTTTTTGCATTTTGCAAAACACTGGTTAAATACAACAGCTGCTTGACTATGACTTCCCGAGGGTATCATCAGCTACGTAGCTAGTCAGTGCTTCGGTACTGACAGGATTTATGACAAAACATTCCTTAAACTATCAAGAAACTAAGGTTTCAACGCCCTCAAATGAATTAACCTTAGATCAATTTGGCTATTATATTTAGGTGCCTTTTAAACACATAGCACTTCAACTATTTCGTTACTTATATACCCTTGGCTTTGAGTGTTTCTGATGAAGATTGATAGGGAAAATCGCCTCAGACTCAAAAGCGTGTTTTAGTGTACAGAGGAAAGTAAATTCAGAAAGTTGTTCAGGACGCATAAACTTGAATCAGTGTTATTTTCATTTAAGTGAGAGGTTTAGCTATAAAATAAGGTTTAATCCACCTTTTTTTCTACATGAGGAAATGCCAGTACCAAGTCGGGAATATGGCAGTTGTTTTCCATTCGTTTATTTTGTTTAAGCCATCGATTTTGCCACTTTCTGTTTTGAATTTTCCTTGCAGTTCGTTATTTTTTATATGATACTTTTTACTTGCTCTTAGTCGATTTCTTTGCTGTATTTGGACTGTTATCCATTAAATCAATAGTAATTGCGTACGCACTAAAATAACTTGTTAGAAATATTTCTAATCTTCATCGTTGAAAAAGAAAGAAACTAATGTTTATGACATTTTTATAGAGAGTACTCCTAGATTGGAACTTTGTAGATATATTCACTTTGTCCTTTATATCGATCTAATGAGTCATTTTTTTAACTAATTTTACCATTTGTGTTTATGTTGTGTTGTTAAATCACTTTCCATTTACAGGGAAGGATGATCGCTCGTAAACATGTTGAAAACCCGCCACATGCTATGCTATCCTAGGTCAGGAACCTGTTATTCGGTGGTTGTTATTGGTCGTTGTTTATCATATGTGTTTTGTGGTTATTGCTTGGTACATCAATTGGGCCACAGAGTTTTTTTCATTTAAATTATTCTATATTTCACATGTCGGGACAGTTTATAGATTAATATACGTGTTCATTTTTGCTCATTGACGACTACTAGTTGCCTACATCTACAGAGTACACCCTGGATTATATACACTCGAACTGATATGACATGTTACA